ATCGTTTCCATCCCAGGCATCTTCTTCTTTCGAGATGAAGAGATCATGCTTCGTTCCTTGAGTAGCCTTGTCGACGTCACTTTCTCCTTTCTCGACATCTCGCATGCTGACAAACGATGGTGGGTTCATCTTCCCCTTCTTGTTCCCTTCTTGGTCCAATTCCATGGATTTTCGCTTCTTGTGCGGCTTGGGTTGTGGGGGGTCGTGTTCATCATCGCCGAGCCCAGAGTCGTGGTTACTGTTTGTTGGACTATCATTGCCGAGGGTGGGTGGGTAGTTGTCAATTGACTCCGGTACAGGAGGTTTTGCTGTCTGCTTGGACAGTTCAATCGCAGCTTTGATACCGTCCCACTCTCCTTCCGCATACCCCGCGTCTGCTGCATCGGCAACTGTTCCTCCTACTTCGCCATTGAGTTGAGCATTCAGTGATAGTGCGTAAGCTAGGTCCCTCTCTTGCTGGGCTTCGCGCTCTTCTTCGGTCAGTTTGGCGACTAAATCGGCATTTGCAGTCTGGATCGATGCGAACGCCTTCTGGGCATCATCGGACGCTTCAGTCGAGGTCGTGGCATCGTGGCATTCCAGATCTCCTGGTCGTACGTATTCAGGTCTTTCTCTTTCAGGAACGCCACGGATGGGGTCGGGGTTGTTGAACCAGTGTTCAGTACCGTAGTACTGTATTTGTAGTCTGATTCTCATAGCTCGGTACGCTTGCCATTGACTCTCGGGTACCGGCTGTTCTTCTGCTACTGGTGTAAGAACATTACCATGGGGGTCTAAGTGGACGACTCGACCATCGTGGGAGCGACCTAAGAGCGTCTTCGATGTGGTTACTTCCGGAAGTGTTGGCGTGGTCTTCAGACTGCCGCTGACCTTTCCCGTCCCCCTTTGCTTGTCCCGGCTTTGATCTGCTTGCATCATGCTCTGCAGCATTTTGTGATTCGCACGCTTGTCTGTCTGTCGCTCCAATATTCCCATGGGCGTAAAGACAGGATCATTGATAGGCTTGAAAGTTCGCCTATTATTGCTCGTCGAGTTACCAGTCGGGGTAGGACTCATCGTAGCTTCACCGGGAGGAGGAATGCCAGACTCAAGACTCATCTTCGAGCCAGCCTCCAGCTGTGGATCGGGCGATGCGGGTCGATTTGCGTCATCCTCCTCTTCGTAGTACATGTTCACGGCGTCGATCACGTTGTAATTGAACTGTTCCAGCCAATTCTGGGCATCTTCAAAGTCGATGTCCACGCGCTCGCGAAATTCTTGTATCGCCTTAAAACTAATCTGACTTCTTGTTGTTCCTTCGTCGGTCGTACGCGGAGCTGCAGTCGTGTCTTGTGTGGGCAGCTTCTCGTCGCTTGAAGGCGTACTCTGAACAAGCCTTCGCGACGACTTGGGGGATGCAACCGTGTCAGATACATCGATAGGCTGCGCAAGTTCGTCTTTTATCTTCCTGACCAGATTGTCCCTCTCTGCAGTCGCTGGGACTAATGCTTCTGCGACATGCTCTTTGTCTTCGGCTGTGTCATCGCTATCATCACTTTCGTTCAGAATAGCAAGATCATCGAGAACTTTATAAAATCGGGCCATAAGGTCTCGCTGCTTAGCAGTGAGTGAGTTGTGTCCTTGTCGCCGGCGCCGGCCATACAGTTCGTTCTTCAGAAAGTCGTAAACCTCATCGTCGGTGTACTTTTTCTGGAGCAATTTGACGGTTTGATCAATAGCGGCTCTTTGTACTTGGTGGTGCCGACCCGCGCTGATGGCATTTACGCCCAAGATTTCCTCAGGCGTGTCGTCCCTCAGCCTGCTGGCATCTCCCACCAGCTTCTCGAGTTTTTGGAAGTCTTCGTTATCGAACCGCATCTTGCTGAACGCCAATCGCGCTGTTTCAAACATGTAGCGCCAGCGAATCTTCTCAGCCCTTGTGGGAGTTTCTTCAAACTTCCCGCATTGCTTCGGTACCTTTTTGAAAGTGGACCAGCATATTCGTTGGGATTCTTCGTCTTCTACAGTGAGTTCTTGCCCGAGGAGCGATATGAACGAAGCAAGAATGGGCCCGTTGTACTATAAGTCATACGTTCAGCTGGGTGTTGGTCGTAAGTAATAGCTGGTCCAACATACCGCTGTCGCGCCATGTACATCAGAATGAAACTTCGCGAGGTTTGCGCTTCCGTGTATGCAGTACGCAAAGTCTAAGCCGGTAACAGAAAAGTGCCGGATGTAAACGATGCAGCATGTGTCTTTCTCATTGACTTTCTTCTTCAAGGACAAATCGTATGCCTCGATCTCGTCGCTACGGTAGGGTGAGTAAAACCACTCTGTACGTAGTCTCTTGAAGCTGTTCGATTCGCATCTCAGTGTCCTATGCACGTCAGTTATGCGCTTGTAAATGTAGCAGCAGTATTACGCGTGGATATATATCTTGCACCTCGTCTAGAGGAATGCTTCATCAGTCTTCCGTGCTGTTGTTAGCGGGGTAGGAAGGTTGTTGCTAAACATTGGTGTCGCCATCGTGTTTGGCGGTGTCGTTGTTGTTGTAAGAATATCTTGGTGAGCGTGAGCGATAGTGACACTGCGATGATTGTGATGAGATAACTATGCAGGACAACAGTAGTGAGGTGAAACCTCGGACGACAGTGTTGACGCGAGAGGAAGCCGACCGTGGAAGCCAGGGCCTCGCAAGTTGGGCAGCCGCATACACGTGGTCAAAACTCTTGGCTGTACTGCAAGTGGTGAGGAAGGTATAAACAGCATTGGTGCGCTAGATAATGGCGGCAACGACCAAGTTTCACCCCACATCGCAACCCTCAATGCTCCTCCATGATCTTTTCATCTCCGATCCGCTGGGTGAAGGTGACTGTTCTGTCCTTGATCCTCCAGACCCCGCTCGCACCGCGCACACCATCACAGTCGCCGTTCTTCGCTTCCAGCATTACCATGTCGTCCACGTACTTGCCATACGCGCATAGCATCTTGCCCTCGTGAGGGCCTTGGCCGAACTGCAAGACTCAGCATCTAGTCCTGATAATCCGGGTACGAAATGATCATGTACGGCAAGCTAAGTCATGGCGCGACTCGAATGCTTTGACGGGCTTTCAAGGCATACCGGTTGCTTCTGCAAGGTGAGAGTAAGGACTGAATTCTGGCGACTTACGTGTACACCCTGAAAGTAAGTTACAGCTCGTGCCGTCTGCGCATCGGATCTGAATGTGATGGTTTGCGTCGTGAGGTTGTGATGTGTGCGGACTGGTCCAAGGCTGTGTACTGTTAGGCTTTGTATTCTTGCTTGTCAACATGCAAGTGATGACCCTACCGGTTCTTGATCGCATCCTTCACCTCATCAAGGCTCTTCATAGCTTCATTGAAAGGGTAGCTGGCTTCGACATCGGATATGAAAACCTTCCCCAGCAGATCAAAGTCCTTCAAATCTAACGCCTGGCAATATCGCGATACGACATTCTTGATGGCCAAAACATCGAGTGGGTTAACGTCAGACATGACGGACGGCGATTCAATTCTCAATCCATGGATGGGGAAGTGTTCTAAGGTTATAACCTGCTTCTCTCGGAACCCCGCCCCAGAGAGCCGGACCCTGATGGAGGGCGGTAGAGTGAGGTTCTCCTTCTGGTTCAGTACCAAGCATCATTACAGGATAGTCGATGCAATCGCGGCCCAGACGTCCTGTCCCTGCGTGTCGTCGCATCGTCACATCACCCTACCATGGAAACATGACGGGAAATATTCACACGATACCTTGAAGCACGTGTAGCTCGCAGGGCGGATCGTCATGTCGCCGCGTGTGTTTAACACAAGATTACGACAGGTAGGAACCTTTTGGAAGATTGCGCATATCTGCCGTTCAGGCACAGGGTTGCCGTCAGTCAGCACATGTCGGCAGCGAAGCAGGGGGCGGAGTGCGAACAAGAAGGACGGAGGGCATGCGATCAGCTCTGATTGGCTGAGACAGCCCACTTACCCCATACGGCAGGTTTAGAGAGACTGTGGATTACGGCGCCACAAATTGAGTCAACATTGATTTCCACCCAACATGATTTCCCCTCCAACATGCGCTTGACATCAATTTCACCCAGACATCCAACCAAATCTGTGATGATCTCCCAACTGATTTTGGGCGATAAGGAATGTTGTATCGCGAGCGTTCCCTGTAGCGAGAAGGTCCTGCAGGAAGTGGCTGGCCAGCACTCAGTCTCTTGATGCCTCCCCGGGCCCGATCCTGTTCCCTCAAGATTGCTGGATTTGACGGCGCTGGCAAGACCTACCTGGTTGGGAAGGTTGAATGACGTAATAGTGTTGAGGGACTTCCCATCGTGCACGGCAACTTTCTCGATTCTACAACTCTATCCTTTTCGCTGCATCATGCATGTACGCCTATCAATTTTTCATGCAAAGTGCCTACGAGACATGCCAGATCCGATGATTACTGAGGCTCGCCCTGGTCCTCCCAGACGCGTGATTCCTCCCGTTAGGATTCTCGCATGCCGCGTGCATATTGCCACGGCCACCCCTCCACATAGCCCTGGAGATCAACGCGCATTCGCCTCGACTTTCTTTCACCTTCTTGTAATGCTTGTAGCTAAGCAACTAAGTGCGTTCCGTAAGCAGCTTTTTGATTACTTCGCAGCTGTCCATGTGGGTGATTGTCCTCGTTCGGCGAATGCGCTGTATACGTTCACACGCGCCGAGCGTAGGCATCCACCACGGCGCCAGCACGACAGGCTTCCCCACCATCGCAACTGCAGCCATGAACACATACCAGACGCATGCGTCCCATGCGCTTGTATATCGCATGCGAGCATGGTGTGAGCTCCGCTGGGTACCCCTCACGAAAGGCAGCCGATATGGAGCCAATCTACGCTGGGCGTGGAAGCGCTTTGTTAAGCACCTGGGCAACATAAATACTGTTGGTGCCTTGTTCTATCTCCATCTCTCAATCTTAATCCTGAGGTCCTATTCACTACGAGGTCTACTGGCAAGCCGTGCGCACAATGGCGATCTTTGATACAGCAGCCCTCGCCGCAAAGGCTGTGAACGCCGGTCTTGCTACGTTTGTGATTCTCTTTACAGCAATTTTGGGTCGCATATTCTACATGCAGAAGCTGCATCCTCTTTCAAAGTTCCCGGGACCGTGGTATGCGACTTCGTTCTCCGTCGTGGGTGCCATAATCTCTGTGTTGCACAGAGAGCCTCAGTTCTTTATGTACCTGGTAGAGAAGTACGGAAGTAGGCGACCCTCTCATCTTCATGTGCGACTGCAGCTTCTGACATTGACGCAGCGGACCGCCCAATACGCATATCCCCCACGATGTTGCTCTTTCCCAAGCCGTCCGCCCTCAAAGACATCTATCGGGACCCACAGTGCAACACTAGGGCTGGCATGTACGACAGTGGAGCCTTGGGACCTCCGCATCTGGTTTCCACGATAGATGGTGAAAAGCACCGTGTCTTGCGCAAGGCTCTATCGAACGCACCATGGTCCATCGGCCCGCTGAAGAACGCATGGGAGCCTCGCTTCGATAGCCACGTTTCCCTGCTCGTTGAGAAGCTGAGAGAACATGCTGAGGCCGAGCGCACCATCTGTCTTTCTGATAAGGTCGCCGAATTTGCAGCCGATATCCTCAGCATAATCTCGTTCACGCAGCCCTTCGGCAGTGTTGAGAACCAGCGCGATGAGAAATACTTGTTGACCAATTGGCGCAAAGGTTTGACATTCTTCGGCTTCTCGGGAAGGTTTCGATTCTTGCGGGAGCGAATCCTGCGACTGCCTATTCTAGGGGTCTGGCTGTTACCGACTACCTCTAATGACTACGGGATGGGCTGGTTGATGGGCGAGGCAGACCGCCAGGTCACCGTGCGAGAGCAGCAAAACAAAGAGAAGCCATATGATGGAAGGCCAGACTTCCTACAGCAGTAAGCATATTCAATGTTCCTTTAGGCATTGTCTTCGTACTTATTGCATCCAGCTGTCTCGACGCCCGTTTTTCAGATGGCTCACCACTGACCCCGACGCAAAAGCGTGCCCATGTCACGCTTCTTTACCAAGCTGGAGCAGACACAACTGGCACAGCAATGGGTTGCATTCTCCGACTCATATTGTCAGACCCGTCTACTCTCGCACGTGTTCGCGCAGAGCTCGATGCAGCAGATTCAGCAGGCCTTCTATCAACTCCAATCCGTTATGATGAAACCCTCCAGCATCTGCCGTTCTTCATTGCATGCATCAAGGAGGGACTTCGCCTTTTCCCACCGGCCCCCAATCTGTTCCCTAGGGTGACACCAAAGGGTGGCAAAGTCGTTGATGGACACTATGTGCCTGGCGGAATGGATGTCACTTGCCAAGCGTACGTCGTGCAGCGAGACAAGGGCTTCTACGGGAAGGATGCTGAAGACTTCAAGCCTGAGAGATGGATGCAAGGTGAGAAGAGAAACTTCGAGCTGGAAGCAGCTCAGTTCACGTTCGGGGTTGGACCGAGGATGTGTCTGGGTAAAGATGTCGCAAAGTTGGAGATGTACAAGCTGTTGCCGGAGGTAAGTTTTTCCTGAAATAGATCTCGCGATGTTTCTTGCTAACTTGAAAGATTATTCGTCGGTTCGACATCCAGATCAACAAATCCGGCAGATATGTCGTCGACGGCGGTGTGGCGTACAACGTCGACTTTCTGGTTGAATTGGCGGTCAGGTAATAAGTATAGTAAACCCCGGGTATATTCACGATGATGTTCAGGTACATCTCGCATGTCCACGACTTTACCGTGAGGAGTACCGAACATGTGCCGAGCGGGTAAAGAGGCTAAAGGGCCATGCTCGAAGAATCCCTTCCCCCGCACACTTAGCAGATACCAAGCCCATCGACCCTGCTTGACATAAACGATCTTTAATTTCTCCGATATGTCTTACATGGTGCACATGCGCTCTACACCGGGTACATTCTTGAGCCAGATCTGCCCAGTATGACCGACACTATGGAAGCTAGCTGTACGGGTGTAGTACTCTAAGAGACACATGTCAAGACGGGTATTTGCATCGTACTTTGAGATCATCAGATAGAAAACCCGGTTGGCATCGTATAACATCCGGGTCGCAGATGAGATATATAGAGCCACCCGAGTCTTCACCATGGAAGTCACGGCCAATACCCAACATGCATTTCTCTACCCTCAGCACCGTTCTGGCTCTGGCCACCATCGCCACATGCACGCCTCTCGGCCCTCGCCAGCAGACAGCTACAGCGCTTGATGCGGCCATGAAAGCGCGAGGCCGTTCCTACATCGGCACTTCTTTGACCATCCGCAATGACAACACCGAGCAGAACATCATCCGCAGTGCGGAATTCGGTTCCATTACGCCTGAGAATGCTATGAAGTGGGATGCCACAGAGCCCAATCGGGGCCAGTTCAACTGGGGACAGGCAGATGCTGTTGCGAACTTTGCGACCCAGAACGGAAAGCAGGTAGGATATCCATCATAGCACCGCAGGTAAACACTGGCAGTGATATGAGCTAACAGGTACAATAGATGCGCTGCCATACATTAGTCTGGTACAGTCAGTTGCCAGGCTGGGTAAACCAAATCAACAACAACGCCACCTTGATGGGCGTAATGGAGAACCACATCAAGCAAGTCATGGGAAGATACAAGGGGAAATGTACCCACTGGGACATCGTCAACGAAGGTACAAACACTACGTGAGAGCAAGAGACATGAACCCAGCTGACGTACTACCAACAGCCCTCAACGAAGACGGCACAAACAGAGACAACGTCTTCCTCCGCGTAATCGGCGAACAATACCTCCCCATCGCCTTCCGCATGGCCGCTGCCGCCGACCCAACCACCAAACTCTACTACAACGACTACAATCTCGAATACGGCTCGGCCAAGCACCAAGGTGCCCTCCGCATCGTCAAGCTCGTGCAATCCTGGGGCGTCAAGATCGACGGCGTGGGTCTGCAGGGCCATGTAGTCTCTGAGCCTACAGGCACCCAGAGCGACATTACGCCCAGCACAGCGGTGTTGACCAAGGTACTTCAGGATTACGCTGATCTTGGTGTTGATGTTGCGTACACCGAGTTGGACGTACGATCTCGTACGCCGAGTAACTCGCAGAAGTTGACGGATGCGGCGGCGGCTTGGGCGAGGATTGCCCAAAGTTGTATTAACGTGCAACGCTGTGTCGGCATGACCATCTGGGTAAGTTTCAGCTATTTCACCCTTCATCTACCATGGCTTGAGTATGTGTGCTGACTTGTCGTGATCAGGGCGTTGCGGATAAGTATTCCTGGGTTCCTGGCACCTTCAACGGTGAGGGATCTGCATTGCTCTGGACGGACAACTTCCAGAAGAAGCCTGCTTACACAGCTTTCTTGGATGTGTTGAACGGAAAGAACACGACGCAGACGTAAGCGCCCTTTGTTACTGGAATTGAGCAGAAGGGTATCGAGAGTTTACCTGTCAATGAGAAGGAGTGGGTTGCACGCCTGTTTACTTTCAGTTTCCAAATCCTCTTCTACTGAATACAATTCCGTTCAATTTCAACGTGCCTTCTCCATACTCATCTCTATCTTCTCTTACTGTCCGATATCTGCTCGCCACCTCCTTCTAAGCCTTCTTTCCCACCAAACGGTCAAAGTGCTCGAAGCAGAATTTCCCTCCGACAAAGCACGTCGCTACCCACTTCAACCAGGCCACGCTTAAGAAACCAACACCATGCTCTTTCAACCTCTTCATGAACATGAGTGTCTCGACTGCATGTGCGCCATAGAGGAAGTAGAACAACCCAGTCTGAATCCATCGTCCGGCTGTAGCAACGTTTTCCGGAAGCGGTGAGTTGAGGTTACCATGATGAAATATGGCGGGGGTAGGAGCAGCGGCAAGGGCCATTACGATGCCACAGATGATGATGGGCTTGAGGTGTGGGCTCGAAGGCGGCGTGTATGTGTTGCGAAGATTTTTTGGCGCCATGGTTAGTGATGTTGTTTTCGGCGTTTGGTAGCTGAAATTCTGCTGGGTCGTTTCTCTGGATGCTACTGAACTGTGTGAGCATCCACCATAGATGTAGTCAACTAGGGCTGAAGCTTTTCGAGGAAGAAACATACCAGCGAGAACACCGCGAATGATGGGGGATTGTGCTTAGTAGGTATCCTGTACAGACCTGCGTAAGAATGTTTCTCAACCTTGGAACTTCGAAAACGTGAACGAAACACTCGACAAGGGACGAATAAGTTGTTCTTCGTTCGTCCGTCAAAATGTGACGCATTGCTACACGGTTTCCACCTGCTGCCGAGGTACTTTTAACCGCCAAGCCTCCCCATTTACATCCTCGATTGACAACGACAGTCGCACCCAACGAGTCAGCGCCGTCGTGGACAAACTCGAGGCCAAAGACCTACCACCTGCATAACCCTTACAGCATCTATAAGCCCAAAACACCAAACTCACGCGTCTCCTCCCGACTCCAACCAACCCACCCGATCAAAGTGGGGCCATTTACCGCATACGGCAGTCTGACATAGCAAACCGTGGATTACTGGAACGGCTGCAAACGTATACTTAGCCTTGCGATTATGCAGCAAAATGCGATCACATGAAGCGCTAAGGACCCTTTTTTGGGGGGAGGGGGGCGACGGCGCGGCGTTGGTAAGGTAGTGGGTTGTTGCTAGGAATCGGGGGCCGTTCATGCAGCCGTGTGGCACGGGCGGGTGTTGAAGGGGGGAACTTTGGAAGCAGGAAGGGAAGATTGTTGTGGACGGCGATGTAGGAATACGACTTCATATGCTGGGCGTTGGGTTTGAAAGAGTCGGTTGTGTATGCTGATTAATGATACCGGCTTGAATGCAAGTGTTTAGAGAGATGTGGAGAGACGCACCGGTTTTGTTGAGAGTTTGGTACAACTATGCACCAACGCTTGATGCGGAGCCGCAGAACGCCTTCCTACAACATAACCACCAAATACTTCTACTTAAGAAAGCAGCTATGAAACCTTCCTATCCTTCCTAACTTCCACTAAACCTTCCCAAACTTGCTCCTTCGCAGCAGACACGGCAATGCACAACCCTCCTCCCGCCGACCCACGCACCCCTACCCCTCGGGCTTGATCCCGTGCCGCTTCCCTCACAAGATCTCACCCGTCATCCGCATTCCACCAACCCAACCCACACACACCACACTACATCCCCCTAATTAACCCATTTCCACTCCTTCAATACAGCACCCTACAGGGAACAACCCGCCAACCCATTCACCACACGACTCGCCAAACAACGGGAGGTAAGTATACCGGTGTGACAATCCACTCTTTCCACACAAGGAACCCAGTTCGCAGCCAATGACCGTGCGCTGCGCGTGCGCATCCCGTGCAGTAGAGCGAGTGTCGCGCTTTTCGCTTTTTCTCGCCTTTTTGCGCGGTGCAGTGTGAGCATGGATCAAGGTGGTTGTGTTGCAGTGATCGATGAGAGTTGGGGAAGTTGCTGCATGGGGAAATGGCGGGTGGGTTGTGGTGGGTGTTGTTGTCTTGGGTGTGGGATGGGGTGGTGAGGTGGGTTGTAGTGGGCTGCGAAGAGAGGGACGATTCTCTCTCATTCGTGCTTCTACCTATTTATTGACATTCACCAGGGCATAATTGTGCAAACGTTGGACAGGTGGTTTTTCCTAATATTACATGTTTCTACCTTCCTTCGTAGAAAGTATGGCCGTAACCTCGTTTTCCTTTTTCAACACCAAGTCATCACGTCTTGTCTATCTCGCATAGTCTTTGACTAGACAGCGCTCACTTCGGCCTTCATGACCTTGTCGTCAATCGGTTTTGTAGTTTCCAGAACTGGTGTAGTGACCGCTGAATCGTTTCGCTGGATGTGGGGTATAGAACCGATCGTCGGGGTTGTTGTTGAAACGGGACTCGCAACAGGACTGAGGTTGCTGAGCGTGCAGTTCAGACGTAACACCCGGTACGAACTTGATTCGTTTGAGAAGCGGAAAGAGGGAAATTCTGTAGCGTCGAAGAAGGGTCGCATTTTGCAAAGAACGGCTTTGGAGATTTGTTTCAAGAGACGGAGTTTGAAGGGCTGTGGAATGTTGTACTGGAGCATCACTAGAAGCCTATAGAGCTCTCTATATAGTTTGCATTTCTCGTCTGGCCCCTCGGAGATGGCGCAGTCTCGATCGAATGGACTTTAAATGAACGGACGAGCGCGCTTGAAGAACAATACTAAGACATTTTGGTGGCGTTTGAGGAAGGGATGAGCGTTGTAAGCGATATCGGGAGCGATGAAAGTAGAGTCGGCCGATATGAAGATGCAAGCTCAGATATCGAAAAGCAGACAGGGTAAAGAAGATGAGCGGGCCATGTGAGATTTGAGTAAAAAACTTGGACCCGGATTCCTGAAGTGGAGCACTGTGCCACTTCGTGTAAGCAGGGCATCAGCCTATCAGTACCCAATATCACACGTCGTAACATCCTCGACAAAATGCTTCTCGCGATAGCTCCTCGTCCACCAAAGATACCACGGTACAACGTTCATCTTAATCTTGTGACCCAACCTAAAATGACGATGTACGAAGTTAGTGTATATCTCACACGCAGTTCGTACATGGGAGATCTTACCAAGGCGTATCCTGCACCGTCTTGACCACACTCTGACTCTCATCGAACGCAGTGTCGATACGAGCACGCCTCAGAGTCTCGTATG